CAGCAGGAAATCACCCCACTGGGTTGCAAGAAATCACATGTGGGAAGGAGCCAGCTTGCCAGGATCAGTCACTCTTAGATGGTGTTGTCAGTCCTCCACCCCAAATATCCCTAGAGTGGCACAATGGACTGACTGTGTTCCTTACTGAGGACTCCCCTTTTTAAAAATAAACAAGCAAAAGTTTCCCTAATCTGACCCACATTCAACAGTGGAAGAAGGCAGCGGGTCCTGGGGAAGGAAGAGTGGGAAAGGAAGCTGGGCGTCAGGCAAACACACTTGGGGACAACATGCTGGAGAGCGTGCAGACCTCTGAGGACAAAAAAGTGACAGGCAGGCTGAGCGCTGGCGGTTGTGGCACTTCCGGAGACATCATTCCATGGACACAAGGCTCCCAATTCCCTCCCTTAGGTTTTCTTGTGATAGTTCTGACAGGCTTTCGTCATGTCTTTCAAGAAGTTAGGAACTCCTTTCTGCAAAGGAAAGGAGACTGTCACTTCTATGTCCTCACAGGGATTATTCCTAATTCTTTGGGATGTGGCAAAGGTAAAGGAAGATGGCTTTGGGAGTAATAAATATGACAATAGGGCCCACGAGCAGATTTCCACAGAGCGTTTCACCAGATGATGACAAAAGGTAAGATGCAGGGCACAGGTAAGGCTGAACCGGCCACTGTTATAAGACCTTGTTGTATATTTTAACTTGTGCTAATAAAAAGCTAAGATATTTCTAAGACACCATTTATTCAAAAATAAAAGAAAACCCCAAAATGAGATTGGGTTAGGCTGTGGGATTCTTCCAAAGAAGTGAGAGAATGGACTTGCTTTACAGAATTAGAAAATGGTAAGGACTGGGGGCAAGAGGCAGGATATGTCATTCTTTAGTTAGTGTTGAACATTGTTCAAGACTTTCTCCAAACATTGTTCTATTTACTCCTTCTCTACAGGGTGGGAATATCCATCTCTATTTTTAAGAGGGAAGAAATTGATGGCTTCCCTAGATAACACAGTCAGAAACAAGGCCAGGACTCAAAATATCATGTGTTTGACTCAAAACCTATGTGCTTTTTCACTCTCCCAGGGAACTGGTGAGCCTTCCAGCCAGTAAGTAGGGCCTTATAAAGCAGACTGAATGGTCGGCATGATTCCATGTCCTAGGCAGTTTCTAGTGATCTGGGTACCACTGTGGTTCCCTCTCCTTACATAAAAACAAAATAACCATAAAAAAAACTGAAGGCTTCCCCAGGCTTGGACATGGTTGGTGTTTCCTGGGCCAGGTTGGCCTGTCTAACCCCTCCATAAGCAGATAGAGGATCCACAAGCACCATTGTCCCTACAAGGAGCAGGCTATTGTGATCCTGGTATGGGGTCTCAGAGCAAAGCAGGGAGGGCTGACATTCCAGGTAAAGATTATTTGTCTTTTGTCTCAGCCTCTGTGCTGGGTATTGGCAACCCCAGTCCTAACCATAGTCACTCAACAGAGCTGTCTCATAAAAGAGCATCGTGAGGCCTGAGACAGCACATCTCTTCGGCCTGACAGCCCCAACATTTGTCACACACACTTCCCCTCCTGCCTCCTGGGATCTCACCTTGGCAGCCCAGTTAATGAGCCAGGACGGAATTTGGCCACCTGGGTTATCGAAGTAATACATGAAAACTAGGGAGGGAAAGAAAGGACAATTCAAAAGGAAGAAACATGTTAGAAAGATACAATAACAAACCTTGCAAACATTCCACCTTCATATCCAGGTCCAGAAAGTAAGGAGGGAGGTAACATGGAATTCAAGTGGACTCGCCCCTCTGCCTTGCCTTACGGGAGACTTACATATAAACATTTTGGAAAACAGCCAAGGCACATTCTGGTGATATTTATTAAACTCCTGGCAAGTGCTAGACTTGGATACAGTCTCTCATTTTATTATTTCTCTCACTAATCATCTCAATCTTAAGGAGCTGATAAAATTGAACCCCAGCTTATAAATGATAAAATGGAGACTCAGAAGAGTGGGGTGACATGCCCAAGGTGGCAGACCTAACATCAAAACTACATTCAGATTTTGCCACAGCCTCAAGGCCACACTGATTCCAGTCCAGCAGGTGGCCACATGGACCCCTCCCAGCCTCTCTCCAGAGGCTGGAACTCAAGGCAGGCAGGTCCTGAGTCCCTGGGTTTTTGCTGAGCAGGAGCTGCCTCCTCAGAGATGGTCCCACCAGCCCTCCTGCCCCGCCTTGGCCAGTGTGTGCATGGACAGGACCAGCCTGAAGTGAGTTTCTAAGCCTTCTAGTTCACTTGGATGTTCTGATTTCATCTGAACAATGCAAGAGTCGGTAAAGAATGAATTGATCAGATTTAAACATCCACCTTGTATTGTAGCCAAGCTTCTGTGGTGAATTGAGTCTCCCTTGTTTCTTTTGCACCCATGCCTACGTCTCTGAGCTCAGGGAATAAGCATCCTGCATTTTATGTGCCTTGCAGCCAGTGTGGCCTTACATCGGTGGCCCTGGCTGGTGCACCAACACGTGCCCCCTTTCTACCTTTGCTCCCCCTCTTGCCATCGCTCTGGATCGCCAGGCTCTGCTTGTACTCCTTCACCCGAATCACGCCCGACTTCTCTGGAAACTGTGGCACGGAGGTGCTCTGGGCCAGGATCACGTGGATCTTCTGTCCTTCGTGGTCCAGCTCTCGCTGCTGCCGCACATAGACATACCACACCACCAGTCAAGGCACAACATCAAGGCCAGCACCTCAGATGGGCAGAAGGAAAGCCCGCAAGCCAGAAGCAGAGGGAGATAATCCTGTTCCTCCACTTGGTATTTGCTCCCTTGCACTGTTACTTCACTTCCTGCCCTGTCTGCCTACCTGCCCTGCAAAACTGTGGCTCCTCCCACCTGGTGTTCTCATTTGAGAGTGTGTATTATCCACCTGTGAATGGTTCCCTGCTGCTTTTATTTATGTGGGGAACCCACTCCTCGTTTCTCCAAGAAGGTAATGAGATTTCAGAGGATTGGTCACTTATCAGCTGTGTGATCCTGGTTTGGTTACTCAACTTTTCTGAGATTGGTTTCCCTCTGAAAGAAAAGAGAGTACCACTGCCCTGCAGGCAGACTTGGTGGGGGCTCTAGAGAGAGACTAGAGCAGAAGCAGCCCTCAGTAAACAATGGGGCCATTGCTCTTTGTCCTCTTCCTAAGCCCTAATCACTGACCTCTATGCACAGAGGATGGTCAGGAAGGGTTACTGGAGATAATAGGAAGACACATGAATACCTGAATATTTAGTAGGCAGATGCCCTTGCTGGTTCTGGTTCACCAAGAATCACGAAGCCATTTCAACTCAATAAACACTTATAGAATAACCACTATGTCTGTGGCACTGTTATAGGGAAGATGATTTGATTTTAAGAAACAAGAAGTCACCACTTATTGAGCCCTTACCACGTACATGCATCATGTGCTTTACAGTTAGCATCAATTTTGATCCTGAGAAAGTCTCTGTGAGTTCAGCATAAGTATCCCCATCTTACAAATGACCAAATTGAGGCTCAGAGAAGTAAAGAAACTTGCTGAAGATCCCATAGCCCAGCTGAAGTGACGGAACCTGAATTTGAACCACGATTAGGCTCCAAAACCTGGTGAGATTTTCATAGCTACAGAGGGCTCAGCTCTTTAATGTGTTCATTAGACTTTCCAATAGTAGAATTTTAGGTTTCACAGGAGAAGGAATTAAAGCCTAAAAGAATCCAAACAATCACTGTAAGTACAACACAGTTACACTTACTGCAACAGCCACAACCACAGCCCCAGGCAAGCTCGGAGGCTCTACAGCACCCACGGTGGGCTGCCCCTCCCCCAGGCACCCTGCAGGATGGTCTATTGCCCCCACTCTCTACGCACTGATGAGTAAAGCTCTTGAATGTTTTAGGGAAGGAATGAAGTTGCTTTAGCTCTGGATTTCCTCTCTCCGAAGTCTTATTTTTTCCTCACAGCAAATATGGTCCCACACCTTGCTTAGCTCATGTGATGGACATCACCTGACACTCCACTGAGGAAAAATTAACTTGATATATTGACTGCCATTGACAGAGTTCTTTGAAGGGTTAGAAGGTCCAGAATGGCACACAGTCTATGAGTGGAGAACCAGTAGTTTACTGAGGCCCAGAGAAGTGAAGGGCATTTTCCAAGGTCACAGAGCAAACCAGGAAATGAGCACACACTTAACCTGGGATCTTTCCCTCCAAAACTAATGTTCTTTTCCATTACACTGTTCTCTAATCTAAAAATTGAATAGCCATTGTTGGAGAGACATATGTGTATATACAAGGACTAAGAAACTCATTAAGGGACTGTGTGCTACTAGAAAGCCAATGAAACCAAACTTCAAGGAGCACCAAGTGTCCACTCCTGAGAACAGCCCCCAGCAGTATCCACATGAGGTCAAAAAGTGGTGTTGCCCTGGTCCAGATCACCTTCTCTGGTCACAGCTGGACCTGGGCCCAGGCCTGCCGCTGCCACCCACTAATGGTGAGAAACTGATGAGAACCTGAGCAGGGTTCTGAACTGCCCTTTACTTCAGTTTCCTCCCCTGACTGATGGGGATGATGGCTCCTACCCTGCACAGTTGTTGGCAGGAGGAGAGAAGACAACATAAAATCTAAGGGATTAAGTAACCACAATTTCTTGAAATACCTACCACCTGTATTTAGTAGTCTATGGGAATTGTGCCAGAAATAATCCCTTATGGAGTCTGTAATCTAGCTGGGCCAGGGTAGACACATACACACAAAACACACAGAAACAATACCCACAAACCACCCCCATGCCCCCTCTCTTTCTAAAGAACAATTATCTAGGAACATACAGACTTACAGAATGTTAGACCTAGAAAAGATTCCAGCAATCATCCAGTTCAGTGGTTTCCAAGTTTTTTTTCTTTTAATTCCACAGACCCTTTGTTAAAAGGATTATTTGTGAAAATTCAGTGTGTAAAACACTCAGCTGCTATCATTGAAGAGAACAGTGGAGTGGAAATCTCACCGGTCCCCGCCTATATTCTACTCCATCTGCCCACCCAGCAAATGTCCATCAAACCCTCCCAGGCTGGCCCTAAGGGGCTTCATAGAGCCTTGGAGTGTCAGCTAAAACTCCTCACATCCATTCAACTGCTTCATATCATAATCAAGGAAACTGAGGGGAAGAAACATACACACAGTGTCCAGATCCACTATTCGTGGAGGAAGGGAGGTGGAGGGAACTGGAAATGTGGGGCCTGAGTCCCAGCCCCCAGTCTGCTGCTAACCACCTGAGTGTGGGCCTCTATCACATTGCCTCTCTGGGTCCCTACTTCCTCTCCTATAGACTGAGAGAGTGTATTGAATACTCTTTATAAAAAGTTGTTTTCAGGTCCCCAATTCTCTGGCACAAGGATTTCCTAGAAAACTTTTCAGGAAAGTATGAGCTGCCCTCCTGTGACCACAATTACAGATGCTCCACATGGTCAGGCTTGGAAATCTGAAAGCCACACAGGAAGCAACAGCTGTAGCAGATGTCTCTGCAAGAGTCAAAGACAATATTGTCCACACCTGCTGGACATACCACCATTGGATGATGACCATGGGGCATAGAAACACTTCAAAAGCTGAGTATTGGTGTGCTTTTGGAAAGGATACATCTCTGTTAGACATGGGAAAAGGGTACTTGACTTGCCAGTACACCACTGCTTCTCCATTGCATTCTTTTTCATAAAGTTCTAAAAAAAAAAAAAAAAGAAGTTATTGCATCTAGAAGCCTCTTTGGTGTCTATTAACAAGAAGCTTTGCCTCCCATCAGGAAACTTGCACAAGCCTCTTAGATAGCCTCATCCACCAGAAGTCAGACAGAAGAAACAAGATGAACTACAATCCTGCAGCCTGTGGAACAAAAACCACATTCACAGAAAGACAGACAAGGTGAAAAGGCAGAGGACCATGTACCAGATGAAGGAACAAGATAAAACCCCAGAAAAACAACTAAATGAAGGGGAGATAGGAAATCTTCCAGAAAAAGAATTCAGAATAATGATAGTGAAGATGATCCAGGACCTCAGAAAAAGAATGGAGGCAAAGATCTAGAAGATGCAAGAAATGTTTAACAAAGACCTAGAAGAATTAAAAAACAAACACCTAGAAGAATTAAAGAACAAACAAACAGAGATGAACAACACAGTAACTGAAATGAAAAATACACAAGGAATCAATAGCAGAATAACTGAGGCAGAAGAACGGATAAGTGACCAGGAAGACAGAATGGTGGAATTCACTGCCACAGAACAGAATAAAGAAAAAAGAATCAAAAGAAATGAAGACAGCCTAAGAGACCTCTGGGACAACATTAAATGCAACAACATTATATCATAGCGGTCCCAGAAGGAGAAGAGACAGAGAAAGGACCCAAGAAAATATATGAAGAGATTACAGTCAAAAACTTCCCTAACATGGGAAAAGAAATAGCCACCAAAGTCCAGGAAGCACAGAGAGTCCCAGGCAGGATAAGCCCAAGGAAAAACACGCCGAGACACATAGTAATCAAAGTGACAAAAATTAAAGACAGAAAAATTATTGAAAGCAACAAGGGAAAAATGACAAATAACATACAAGGGAACACCCATAAGGTTAACAGCTGATTTCTCAGCAGAAACTCTACAAGCCAGAAGGGAGTGGCATGATATATTTAAAGTGATGAAAAGGAGGAAACTACAACCAAGATTACTCTACCCAGCAAGGATCTCATTCACATTTGATGGAGAATTCAAAAGCTTTACAAACAAGTGAAAGCTAAGAGAATTCAGCACCACCAAACAAGCTCTACAACAAATGCTAAAGGAACTTCTCTAAGAGGGAAACACAAGAGAAGAAAAGGACCTACAAAAACAAACTGATAACAATTAAGGAAATGGTAATAGGAACATACATATCGATAATTACCTTAAATGTGAATGGATTAAATGCTCCAATCAGAAGACACAGGCTTGCTGAATGTATACAAAAACAAACCTATATATATGCTGTCTATAAGAGACGCACTTCAGACCTTGGGACACATACAGACTGAAAGTGAGGGGATGGAAAAAGATATTCCATGCAAATGGAAATCAAAAGAAAGCTGGAGTAGCAATACTCATATCAGACAAAATAGACTTTAAAATAAAGAATGTTACAAGAGACAAGGAAGGACACTACATAATGATTAAGGGATCAACCCAAATAAAGATATAACAATTATAAATATATATGCATCCAACATAGGAGCACCTCAATACATAAGGCAACTGCTAACAGCTATAAAAGAGGATATAAACAGTAACACAATAATAGTGGGGGACTTTAACACCTCACTTAAACCAATGAACAGATCATCCAAACAGAAAATTAATAAGGAAAAAACACAAGCTTTAAATGACACAATAGACCAGATAGATTTAATTGATATTTATAGGACATTCCATACAAAAACAGAAGATTACACTTTCTTCTCAAGTGCACATGGAACATTTTCCAGGATAGATCACATCTTGGGTCACAGATCAAGCCCCAGTAAATGTAAGAAACTGAAATCATATCAAGCATCTTTTTGGACCACAACGTTATGAGATTAGAAATCAATTACAGGGGAAAAAACATAAAAAAACACAAACACATGGAGGTTAAACAATACGCTACGAAATAACCAAGAGATCACTGAGGAAATCAAAGAGGAAATCAAAAAATATCTGGCAACAAATTACAACAACAAAACAATGATCCAAAACCTATGGGATGCAGCAAAAGCAGCTCTAAGAGGGAAGTTTTTAGCAATACAAGCCTACCACAGGAAACAAGAAAAATCTCAAACAATCTAACCTTACACCTAAAGGAACTTGAGAAAGAAGAACAAACAAAACCCAAAGTTAACAGAAGGAAAGGAATTGTAAAGATCAGAGCAGAAATAAATGAAGTAGAAACAAAGAAAACAATAGTAAAGATCAATAAAACTAAAAGCTGGTTCTTTGAGAAGATAAACAAAATTGATAAACCATTAGCCAGACTCATCAAGAAAAAGAGGGAGAGGACTCAAATCAATAAAATTAGAAATGAAAAAGGAGCAGTTACAACAGACACCTCAGAAATACAAAGCATCCTAAGAGACTACTACAAGCAACTCTATGCCAATAAAATGGACAACCTGGAAGAAATGGACAAATTCTTAGAAAGTTATAACCTTCCAAGACTGAACCAGGAAGAAATAGAAAATATGAACAAACCAAACACAAGTAATGAAATTGAAACTGTGATTAAAAATCTTGCAACAAACCAAAGTCCAAGACCAGATGGCTTCACTGGCGAATTCTATCAAATATTTAGAAAAGAGATAACACCTATCCTTCTCAAACTCTTGCAAAATATAACAGAGGGAGAAACACTCCACACTCATTCTAGGAGGCCACCATCACCCTGATACCAAAACCAGACAAAGATACTGCAAAAAAAGAAAATTACACACCAATATCACTGATGAACATAGATGCAAAAATCCTCAACAAAATTCTAGCAAACAGAATCCAACAACACATTCAAAGGATCACACACCATGGTAAGTGGGATTTATCCCAGGGATGCAAGGATTCTTCAATATACGCAAATCAATCAATGTGATACACCATATTAACAAACTGAAGAATAAAAACAATATGATCATCTCAATAGATGCAGAAAAAGTTTTTGACAAATTTCAATGCCCATTTATGATCAAAATTCTCCAGAAAGTGGGCAAAGAGCAAACCTAGCTCAACATAATAAACGCCATATATGACAAAACCCACAGCAAACATCATTCTCAATGGTGAAAAACTGAAAGCGTTTCTTCTAAGATCAGGAACAAGACAAGGAACAAGACACACTCACCACTATGATTCAAGATAGTTTTGGAAGTCATAGCCACAGCAATCAGAGAAGAAAAAGAAATTAAATGAATCCAAATCAGAAAAGAAGTAAAACTCTCACTGTTTGCAGATGACATGATACGATATGTAGAGAATCCTAAAGATGCCACAAGAAAACTACAAGAGCTAATCAATGAATTTGGTAAAGTTGCAGGATACAAAATTAATGCACAGAAGTCTCTTGCATTCCTATACACTAATGATGAAAAATCTGAAAGAGAAATTAAGGAAACACTCCCATTTATCATTGCAACAAAAAGAATAAAATACCTAGGAATAACCTACCTAGGGAGACAAAAGAACTGTATGCAGAAAACTACAAGACATTGATGAAAGAAATTAAAGATGATACAAACAGTTGGAGAGATATACCATGTTCTTGGATTGGAAGAATGAATATTGTAAAAATGACTATACTACCCAAAGCAATCTACAGATTCAGTGCAATCCCTATCAAATTACCAATGGCAGTTTTTACAGAACTAGAACAAAAAGTCTTAAAATTTGTATGGAGACACAAAAGACCCTGAATAGCCAAAGCAGTCTTGAGGGAAAAAAACAGAGGTGGAGGAATCAGACTCCCTGACTTCAGACTACACTGCAAAGCTACAGTCATCAAGACAATATGGTACTGGCACAAAAACAGAAATACAGATCAATAGAACAGTATAGAAAGCCCAGAAATAAACCCATGCACCTATAGTCACCTAACATATGACAAAGGAGGCAAGGATATACAATGGAGAAAAGACAGTCTCTTCAATAAGTGGTGCTGGGAAAACTGGACAGCTACATGTAAAAGAATGAAATTAGAACACTCCCTAACACCATACACAAAAATAAACTCAAAATGGATTAGAGACATAAATGTAAGACAGGACGCTATAAAACTCTTAGAGGAAAACATAGGAAGAACACTCTTTGACATAAATTACAGCAAGATCTTTTTTGATCCACCTCCTAGAGTAATGGGAATAAAAACAAAAATAAACAAATGGGTCCTAATGAAACTTAAAAGCTTTTGCACAGCAAAGGAAACTACAAACAAGACAAAAAGACAACCTTCAGAATGGGAGAAAATATTTGCAAATGAATCAACGGACACAGGATTAATCTCCAAAATATATAAACAGCTCATGCAGCTAAATATTAGAAAAACAAACAACCCAATCAAAAAATGGGCAGAAGACCTAAATAGACATTTCTCCAAAGAAGACATACAGATGGCCAAGAAGTACATGAAAAGCTGCTCAACATCACTAATTATTAGAGAAATGCAAATCAAAACTACAGTGAGGTATCACCTCACACCAGTTAGAATGGGCATCATCAGAAAATCTACAAACAACAAATGCTGGAGAGGGTGTGGAGAAAAGGGAACCCTCTTGCACTATTGGTGGGATTGTAAATTGATACAGCCACTATGGAGAACAGTATGGAGGTTCCTTTTAAAACTAAAAATAGAATTACCATATGACCCAGCAATCCCACTACTGGGCATTTACCCAGAGAAAACCATAATTCAAAAAGACACATGCACCCCAATGTTCACTGCAGCACTATTTACAATAGCCAGGTCAAGGAAGCAACCTAAATGCCCACTGACAGGCGAATGGATACAGAAGATGTGGTACATATATACAATGGAATATTACTCAGCCATAAAAAGGAATGAAATTGGGTCATTTGTAGAGACGTGGATGGATCTAGAGACTGTCATACAGAGTGAAGTCAGAAAGAGAAAAACAAATATCGTATATTAATGCATATATGTGGAACCTAGAAAAATAGTACAGATGAACTGGTTTGCAGGGCAGAAATAGAGACACAGATGGAGAGAACAAATGTATGGGCACCAAGGGGGGAAAGTGGTGGGGGGGGGGGTGATGAATTGGGAGACTGGGATTGACATGTATACACTAATATGTATAAAATGGATAACTAGTAAGGACCTGCTGTATAAAAAAATAAATAAAATTCAAAAATTCAGAAGAAATTAAAAAAAACAAGAAGCTTTGATATGATGATCCTGTAGGGATGCTAAACCACTCACTCATAAGGCACAGAATTCTAGAAAAAGTCAGGTTTACTACCATTGAAAGCCTGCTGCCCAGGGGCAGGGTCTAGTAGATATAAAAACAGAGTAAAAATAAAAGAACCCAGCAAAAATTGTTCATCATATAGCACAAACAACACTCTCAAAAAAATGCAGTGAAATAAAATTAGGCATTAAAAAATAAATTTTCAGGTTTAAAAATCAGGGAAACCGGGCTTCCCTGGTGGCGCAGTGGTTGAGAGTCCGCCTGCCGATGCAGGGGGACACGGGTTCGTGCCCCGGTCTGGGAAGATCCCATATGCCACGGAGCAGCTAGGCCCGTGTGCCATGGCCGCTGAGCCTGCGCGTCCGGAGCCTGTGCTCCGCAACGGGAGAGGCTGCAACAGTGAGAGGCCCGCGTACTGAAAAAAAACAAAACAAAACAAAACAAAAACAAAATCAGGGAAACCACCAGATGTCACTAGAGTAGCAAATGTTTTACTGTTGTGTCCTTATGCTCCCCCCATTTAGATTTCTTGACAGGTGTCCTGGGACTGAGCGACCTAGCCTAGTGTGTTCAATTTGGAAACAAAGTTTCCAGAGAGGGCACTGTCCTTTCTAAACAGCTAGAAAGTTTCTTAACTGTGCTAACCCTAACTTTCTTTCCTCTCTCCTATGTTGCTTTATACCACAGCTACAGGGACCAAACCTCCTTAATATCCACCATGCATATGGTGCATATAGCATCAGCTCTTGTAGGGAGATAGCAAAGGTATGCTATGAAGTGCGTAGCCTCTGTCTGCAAGTTGTGCAGGAAGCTTCTAACTAACCATTTAGAGAAGGCGCTACACCAAGGCTACTGAAGGAACCAAGAGAGTCCCTTGAGGAGATACTAACTGTGGCAATGTGTTAATTAATTTAGCTTTTGAAAAAATGAAATCTATTAGAAGCAGACCTTGGGGTAAAGAGCTTGCCAGCCCACTGGTACAGGAGGCTGAAGATGCCCTTGAAAGGAAGGGAAGGAGCAGACATCTGTTGCTTTGCCTGCTCAGCTTTGGCTCTCCTCTTCTTGGACCAGTATCTCATTCTTCTTTTTCTCCTTCACTATGTGGTTTAAGCAGAACTGAATCGGTGTTAATTATAGGGGTGGGATATTGAGCCAGAAATGGCCAAGGTGATTAGTTTAGGGAAGGCATGTGTAGACAGAGTCTTGGCTTGCCACTATAGCAAGTTTAGGCCAAAAAGTGTTTTTTTTAAGGCCCTCATGCAGTTTACAGAAGATCTAGGAGTACCAGAGTTAGGTTAGAACCTCAGGATGGCTCCAGAGAAGCTAAACTACTGCTGTCTCTGGACTGTACTCCATAGTGTGGAATGCTGATGCCAAGTACCACACATCAGATGCTCTTCCAATATCTACAGCACACGACTGAACAATGTCTGCTAGAGAGATGGACAGAGAACTTGTGGCTTCTCCCTTGAATAAGTGGCATCACAATTCCCCCTAGATAGGAAGCCTATTTGATAGCACTAAGTGACCCAAAACCATGATAAATGTCCCCAGGAAGTAAGTATATGATCCATATTGAGGCTATGAGAGCCAACCCTGGGACTCTGGCTGCATCAGTAGGAAAGTTCCTATTCCTCTGGAGTTATGTACATGGTTAGAATGTAAGCCTGCAACCTCTGGTGGCAACTTTGCCATGACATAAGAATCTGCCTGAGAATGAGATCAACACAGAAGAAAACACAGTCAAGCTGGAGATATAAAGTATTGGATGTATCTGACCTGGAAGCCAGACACCTATGCACTTTTCAATTCCATGAACAACAACAAAAAAAAAAACACTTTCACCTTTTCTTACACTGGCATTTGTTAGTGCTTGGTTACTTGCAACTAAGATTCCTGACCACAGCAAGGGTATGTTAGGGTTTCTGTGTCCCTGGGCTAGCTGCTGTGTATCTATCCCACTGTGACTGGGATGGCAGAGTCCACTCCCCACTTTAAGTGGCAGGAAGAGCCCCTATCTAATGTTTCTCATAACTCTCCCTCACTTCTACTGAAAATCTAAGAAGTGTAGCCAGGTGGCCAGCCTAGGCCCTTGGGGCTCTGGACCCTCCTCCCACCCTAGTTCTAGATTCTCTACCCCAGCAACTCAATAGCACCCAACTGCTAACAATTTTTTAATATTTCATGTTGTTTCATGCCTTCCTCACTTTACTCATGCTATTCCTAGACCTCAAATGCCCTTCAACCACTCACCCTCTCACCCTCTCACCTCTTCACATATAGGTATTCTTGCCATTTATAAAACTCTGATTCAACCTCTAAAACAAAGCTTTGGTACCACCACCTCCAAGAAGCCTTCCATGACCACCTAGGTTTATGAGATGACAACGAACTTATAATAAGAACAAAGCAGCCCTCAGAGCAAACTGGAGAGTGACTCTAATAGTATGCAAGGAGCAAATCCTAAGATTAGCAAAGTCACATTTTAACCTAGAACTTTAAGACATATATGCCAAAATTAAAAATGAAACATAATATAGTAAAAATTAAACCTTTTGCTTAGTGCTGGCTAGAATAAATAACAGATTCTACTTTCTAACTGGTTTTGTTAAATTGTAAGTGTCACTCACCTTTAACATATTGGTCCCACTGTTTTCTATAGTCTAAGTCCATATAGACATCTGCTAGTAGATCCGGTGAGCAATCCTCCAGAAAGCCAAAGACCTTATACTCATACACTCCAGTCTGCTATAAAAACAGAACAGATAGAAACAACCTATTGATTCTCAGGTTGAGATTACACAGCATATGAAAAAAAGCTGTTCATGCAGCACCATTATTGAGCACCTCCTCTTGGTCTTAGTGAAACAATAGTGAAAAAGCAGATGAGGAACCTGCTCTCATGGGTCTTATATTTGGCCTTAGGCATTGGAGGTGGTGACAGCTATATGCTATCCAGGTAATTTAAGTAGGATAAAAGAGGGTTATGTGATAAATGGTGTCTAGTTTTGGTGGGCTGGTGGTGCGTCCTATATCATCAGGTGTTCAGGAAATGTCTCTATGAAGGATTTATCAGAATGGTTTCTTCTAAATATTAGAAGGATCCAGCCATGGGAAGATGAGGAAAGCCCACTTCTGGTTGGGAGGGGGCCCGATGGTTTGCCTTACTCACAGAACAGAAAGTCAGGGGATACAGAGAACTGTGATGGGGGAGAGTGGTAAGGGCTGAGGTCAGAGAGGTAGTAGAGGCCATGCCCAAAGAGCTTTGTAAACCAGGGTAAAGGGGTGAAAATATTTTTATAACTGCTATGGAAAACCAACAAATAATTTTAAATATGGGAATGACTTTAAATAGGGGATGACTTTAAAAGATGATTCTTGCTTCTTGGTAGAAAATAGATCATAAGGGAGCAAGGAGATGGGTTAGAACAGCGGTCCCCAACTTTTTTGGCACGAGGGACCGGTTTCGTGGAAGACAATTTTTCCACGGACCAGGGTGGAGGATGGTTTCGGGATGATTCAAGTGCATTACATTTATTGTGTACTTTATTTCTATTATTATTACATTGTAATATTTAATGAAATAATTATATAATTCACCCTAATGCAGAATCAGTGAGAGCCATGAGCTTGTTTTCACTTGCCATTCACTGATAGGGTTTTGAAATGAGTCTGCAAGCAATTGATTTATTTTGGTCTCTGTGTAGTCAAACCTCTCTGCTAATGATAATCTGTATTTGCAGCCACTCCCCAGTTTCTATTATCATTGTAATATTTAATGAAATAATTATATAATTCACCCTAATGCAGAATCAGTGAGAGCCATGAGCTTGTTTTCACTTGCCATTCACTGATAGGGTTTTGAAATGAGTCTGCAAGCAATTGATTTATTTTGGTCTCTGTGTAGTCAAACCTCTCTGCTAATGATAATCTGTATTTGCAGCCACTCCCCAGCGCTAGCATCATGGCCTCAGCTCCACCTCAGATCATCAGGCATTAGATTCTCATGAGAAGCACGCAACCTAGATCCCTCATGTGAGCAATGCACAGTAGGGTTTGCGCTCCTATGGGACTCTAACGCCACTGCTGATCTGACAGAAGGTGGAGCTCAGGCGGTAATGTGAGCTATGGGGAGTGGCTGTAAATACAGGTGAAGCTTCGCTCGTTCACATGTCACTCACCTCCTGCTGTGCAGTGCAGTTCCTAACAGGCCACAGACCAGAACCAGTCCGTGGCCCGGGGATTGGGGACCCCTGAGTTAGAAGACAAGTGCAATGGTCCAGAAAAGAGATGATGGTGATTAGACAGGAAGGTAACAACAGTGATGGAGAGAAGTCAGTGATTTAGGGACACATTTTGGAAGTAATGTCAACAGGAATTGCTGACAGACTGGCCGTGGGGACAGAGAAAACGAAGAGTTGAGGATAATTCTTATAACACTTGCTTAAACAACCAGATAGATGGGAGATCCATTTTCTAAGACAGAGAAAACTTGCAGAGGAGGTGATTTGTGGGCTGCAGGGTAACCAAGAGTTCTACCTTGGGCAAGTTGAGTTTGAGAGGCTTATTAAACATCCATGTAGGGGTATCATATAGGTAGCTAGCATTCAGGGTTCAGACTACTGTTTTACATATCCATGGGGCATAATGAAACCCAACACATTGTTTTACCAATTCCAAGACAGAATTTTTCTATAAGTGACTTTTTTTTTTAAGTCTTTATTGAATTTGTAACAATATTGCTTCTGTTTTATGTTTTGGGGTTTTCGCCACAAGGTATGTGGGATCTTAGCTCCCCGACCAGGGACTGAACCCTCACCCACTGCATTGGAAGGCAAAGTCTTAACCACTGGACTGACAGGGAAGCCCCTATAAAAGACTTTGTGTATAAAAGAATGAAAAGGGGGCAACACACCAGCCTCAAATCATACTAGTCCCTTTTATTCAGTAAAAGACCATATCTAGATTCCTAAGTACAAGAGATTTTCCTTGTTTTCATGTTAAGCCATATTCTGTGAGGGTTCTGGGCTGGAGCTGGTGACACTACATGCTTCACTCTCCGTACAATGGCAGCTAACAATTCCTGAACCTCACCTTGTCTAAAGGCTCTATTGTTAAAATTAAATCAATGCCTCTTAATTTCAGTGCAAAAGCAAACAAACAAACAAAAATGAAGCTTTTATATGTATTCATATTTCCACATGCTAACACAATCTGATTGGCTAATCAAACATGAATGAACCCATCTTCTTAAACACCGTTCCAGGGACTTAGCTGAGGTCAAGGGGTAAGCATGGGGAATCTTTCTAGACATCCTGAGGCTTCAATAGTCTCCTGACTCAGGTGGCATAACCCAGGGATAAGCATATACCAGTTTAGTAATCTCAGATGTATATGAAAGTACCTGGCAGGATATGGAAGGCAAAATTGAAACTGAATTCATAAGGATGTTTCAGTTCCAAAAGCATGTGGCTTTATACCAAGGGTTTCCAACCAGCAAATGACAAACTGGTAGGTCTGACCTCCTTATATGCTGTACCATGGATGCCCCATAGGAAAGGCAGGACTCAAGAGAAACATCTCCTTCCCTTCCTGTCCCCTCCCCTCAAGCTCACAGATGGAAAGATAGTGAGGGATTGTACACACCACACATCTACACCCACACACATTTTAATGTCTTAGGAGAGGGACAATTAGCTTCTGTTCAGGAGTACTGGGTCCCCATTTTCTACACAAACTAAGCAAAAGGGATAATTATGTATAGAGATAATGATCTCCCCAACTCCACATGAATTACCTTTGGTTATCTGGATGAATTAAGACAGTTTTCTAGAATTGGTTCCCAACCCTCTGAATATAGTTTCAGCCCTAGTAACCTCAGTCTTGTACATATCACAGAAAAGAAAAAGAGAAAGCTCTCTAGGAAGAGAAAAATAGAAAGATGTGATTAACCTGAATACAAAAGAATGAACTATTGTGACAACTTCCTTTAAACACTTCCTTCGTGGCAGAACTGAGAAATGCCAGAACTCCAGAGGACAAAATGCTTTGTGACACCTCTTCTAGTCTGTCAATAAAATGTTCTTTTCAGGCTCTGAGCAACCCCACCCAAATTCTTGGATCAAAGCACTTTTTCACCCCTTATTTCTTTCAAAAGAGGGTCTCAGCAAACATACCTTTTCATTATATCTTTTACAAAATAAAGTGAATTTTTTATAATTATAGAAATAATTCATATTCATTAAGGAAAATTAGAAAATGCCAAAAATAATAAAGAAAATTAAAATGACATGAAATTCCATAATCCACAAGTACCCACTGGTAGTATTTGACATGTTTTTTGAGTAAATAAATACTTCTACGTGTTATAAAATGGGAGTAAGATGGATAAACAACTTGTATTCCTATTTTTAACTATATTAACTTGAAACTATGGAGCAATAACAACTAATTTAATTATTCTTGTAAGTTATTTCTGTTTCCATATATTTTCACAATTATGAGCATTGCTGGAAAAATGATTCTGTATGGACAAACTTGGTTCATAATTCTAACATTTTCACAAGGAAAGCAAATTCTTCCTTAGGGATAAATTTTAGGGTAAAGGACATTAACATTTTAATGCTCTTTTTACTTTTTCTAAACCTTTAAGAAAAATTTTTACCTATTTATACTCTCACCAGTAGCAAAGAAGCATCTTCTCAGGATTAGGTACCATTGTTTGTACAATCAATTTAATAGAAAAAGAACATAAACCTTAGTTTTATTTGGGCAATGTTTCTAGTATTGCCCACATAAAACTTCAGTATTTAGTCTCTTTCAAATTAGAGATATAATTCCTGTACAACATTTGTTGCAGATACGTTTCCAAACATACTAACATTTCAATAAATGACTCCAAACAAGTTTACTGAAGAGGTTCTTAGCTTTTCCTGAAGGTCCTCCAGAAAACCACTTCTAAGAAGGCTCAATTTTTTTTATCTAAAGTAAAACACACTGCATTTTCTAATGCTCCCTTTATAGGATATTTAATTTCCTATACTTGACATGGTAAAGGAATTACTCAATGGTAGAGAATCAGTCAATATCATGTGTAGAATATAATTCCCAGAAGAAACAGAAGATTCATTATAGCATATACTCTCTTTCTTACTAAGAGAACCCCTATGGCCATGTGCACAGCTAAAAACTTTCCTGGTCGCCTATACAAGTAGAGGTAATAGCCATAAGACACCTCCCTCTTGTTTTGAATATGTATATGATTCTGGAGCTGCAGCAGCTATTTTGTGACTAAAAGACAACAAGAGAAAGCAGAGTGAAAATATTCAGAGTTTTATTAACGTTGTTGATCAGCTAAACCAATGCCAGCAACTGCTGACCTCTGAACTACTTGTTAGGTGAGAAAAATAAACCCCTCTTTGCTTAAGTCATTGTTAATCCAGTTTTCTGTTACTTCCAGCTAAAACCAATCCTAATTATTACAAGTAGTTCTTACTGAGAATTGTACTTGAGTTCTGTCATCCCAGAAAACAGTAGAGGTTAAGAAAATCTCCCACTCTTTGGGTTCCAGAAAACAGCTTATCACAAAAGAACCACCTTTCCCCTCATGACTTAGATGAGACTCACATACATGGCCCTTGTTTACCTGTCACAAGGCCAGACATTGAGCCTCTAAATTCCCTTTCATTGCCCTGTAAATGATTAGCTAAACTGCTTATTCCACTGATCAATTGGAACAAAATACTTGT